ATGGCGTCCCGTTGGAAAGCTCGATGGAGTCCCTGATAATGTTTTGACACGAATGCCATCCTCCAACATGAGCCTTTGTTTCAACGTATGTTTTAGTATTTGGATGACAGATTATCCTAAATGATAATTATGATAAATAATCGGTAATATAGATTCGTCGAGCCCTCTTCATTCAGGCTATACGTTCTCCTTTCATGATGAAAATTTACTCTTACTTCGTCCACGGGTGGAGGCAAAGGCATTACTTGCTCCGTAATCTTGTCTTCTCACACTTTCTTTGTCCTTTCTTTGTTTTAGAAATTCACTTGTGTGTTTTAGTCCGTTTGGAGGAGAGACTCACAACATGCGGGCAAAATGTGACAAATTCCAACACTGGACTAGACCTGCAGTATTTGTCTACTGTAAAGCTAAATGAGGCGATGGATGTGGACCTTTTTTATCTATATTTTTAAAAGTATTTTCTAAAACATAATTTTATGTATTTTATTTTTTTTTATTTTTTTATTATCATATTTTTTTGCACTTCCAGACCCTGTCCCCATCTGATATGAAATGATCGGCACATAATATTAACAACACAGAGCTTGGCGGCCCCACACTTGACCAATAGGGGGCCACAACCCAAGACTGAGAGATTGCAGGGAACCAATGGCCGCGTGACACGTCATGAACAATTTCAAATATTTATAACCAATCAAAGGCATCCACGCCGTCGGGTCTTTGCAGTCTCCTAGACGTTGGTGGGTTATCAGGACGCATTAGGCCAATTGCGGTATGTGCAACCCTTATGTTTTAGTTAGTTCAGCTTTTGCTTGCCTTTCTCTAATCGCAAATAAACGTTTCCTTTCTTTTTTGTTTTGTTTTGGGCTGAAGTTTAGACGACCGGAATCCAAAATGAAAAAAGGCCTGATAAGTCCTAATACTTGTTGTATCCTAAGGGGAGTGTGCGGGACTCATACTATACAAAGATGGGGGGGGGATATCCCACTCCATGCTATTTTCACACTTTTTACAAACTATTTTATATATTTTTTTTTCGATAGTTCCTATCAAATTACTAGTTCAAAGTTTCAACAGTAGTAATAATGACCCAACGAATCACAGGGGGAGGGGGAGGGGGTTGATAAAACATACACTATCAGAGGAGTATGACCCTTAATAGGCTCAAACAATGAACATGTAAATAATAATTCCATATGGCACCAGGAATCCACGGCTGTCCCAGAACAGTTCAGGAGAGACATGAGAAATCATGAAAAAGGTATATTCTTTCAGCCATAGCTATTATGTCGGGAGCTAAAGAAGAATATGTATAAGTAGACTTACCTACCTGTACACTGATGTATATAATGTATATAATAGGACACTGCTTAATATTTATATATGTGAAGATCAGTACAGCTACATGTCCCGTGATATAAACATTTACTCTCCAAAACATAGCTGACATATAAAAGGAATGAGTGATTCTCTCTACTCAAAGATTATGAAAGCCTAACTAAAACACTACTGCAAATGCTAACTTGCAAACGAAAGAGGACTGAATTCTTTTTATTCTTCGCTAGCATGATGATGTTCATACATTCATTATAGTCATTATAGATGTACTGCTGCCTATGTTTAGGTAAATCACTTTATCTACCCCATATAGAACATTTTACAGTGATAATGTTCCCTTTTCCTAAGGCGAATGTAGACCAGAAATAAGTTAAAATTTGTTTAAATATCAAATTCTTGGGGGCAAACTTTGACTGGACCAGACAAAGTTCGTCCTCACTAACTAGCTACAATAAAGCCCCACCTTATCCCGTTATGTCTGTTTTTAATAGATCCCTTCTTAATCATATTCTTTGGTTGAAGCCAGGATGCAGCGCCGGAAAGGGCTTATGCATCAAGGAGAAAATCGACTACTCAAAAGTCAGAACTGAAAAGATAAACAAAATAAACAACAACAACATCAACTATCTCCACTAATTAACAAAATGGCTTTGCCGCTTCCGTAGAAAAGACCCCACGATGACCTCACTGAGGTTGCGGGACCTTGCGCACGCACCGGCCTCGCTCGGGTCCAAGGAACACGTCGCGCTGGTGAGACTCCTCCTTCTGCAGGTGGTGTGGCCTCAGAGGGGAAAGCGCATCACCCAGGAGAGCGGAATCTTAAACAGGTGCGAGTCGACTTGCGCAGCAGCACCGGCCCCATCATGTGTCGACAAGGCGCCGCTTGTCTCGTATATTTTTCTCTTAACTTTCTATTTTATTTTTCTTTCTTTCATCACCTTACCATATGAGGATGTGAGTGGGGGGAGGGGGGGAGTCTCTGGAGTGCGGAAAGGCGATAGGTAAGTGTGCCTCCGTCAGGTATGTCTAGCAAGGCAGAGGATGTGTAAGAACTCAGCTGGGGCTCCTCAGGTTCCACAGTCTGGGCCGCTGGGAGGAGGTCGCCGGTCGTCCGTGCGTCCGTGCGTCCGTGTGGCCCTCCCTCCGGACTCTCTCACGGCAAGTAGGTGGGACAAGGGTATCTGAATGAGCTCTCCTAGACTCCATGCCCGTCGCCGCTCTTAGGGCTTGGTGTGCCCACATCAGGGTCGTCGGCCTTGGGGTTAGTGTGCTCATGTTAAGTTTCCCAAGCTCAGGGCGCGTCCGGCATCTTTGGAACCAGATGAGACCTAGCCAAGGCCAACTTGAAGACGATAAGACGAGTTGTTGAAGACTTTGATTTGTTTCGTGAGAGTTCCTTCTTCATTCTTCTTGTTTTGTTTTAGTTGTACATTACAAGTCGGACAAGTTTTGCCACAGGAAATGGAGTTAAATCGACACACTGACCTTTTTTTTGTTTGTTTTTTGTTTTTGAAGATATATCGCAAGACAGCTGCATTGTCACACCCCAGTGAGTATACACATATAAATATGAATGTATGTATATATGCACATACATTTATGTTCCGCTTACTATTACTATATATATCCTGAATCACTGTACTTTGTGAAGATGACCACTTGCCATCTCGACGTACCAACCTTTCTAAATGATGCTTCCTCGCCTCATGCTTTGAAGAAATCGGCTGCACGTTAGAATGAAAATCCTAGCTACCTATGTTATTCAGATGTATGTGATGTTTTCATGCATTTAAAAAAAAAAAGAAAAAAATACAACAACAAAAAGAAGAAGAAGAAGAGATGCTTATCCTCATTTGATGATTAATAAAAGCGGCATTCTGAGTTTCTCCATTTTTTACACTGATTGAAAGGTAAATTATCCTGTTTATCTGAAGCATCGTGTAAGGTTCGCACAACTACTGACTAGACGCTTTGGTCGTAACTTCTTGGATTCATCTCATCGCTTTGGAAATCGTGGCGGAAGGTTGGAGGGTCATCTTGCGCTCTTCAGAATGGAGGAGACTGACCTGGAACAAAGAAAACGGATGACGAGCTGATAGAAAACGGGGTGTGTGAGGAGGAGGATAGATCCCACCAAGTCTGAATGCAAAAGAAAGCCACAGAAAATGGGATGTAATAGTGACAGAAAATGGGATATAATAGCCATAGAAAATAGGATGTGTTAGCCACAGAAAATAGGATATTAGAGTAGCAGAAAATAGGGAAAGATGACAATATGTGAGGGAAATAGAATGTCTTAGTTATAATGCAGTTCTAGTTATTATTTTCATCATTGTTATTACTATGATAATGATTATTTTGCCAGTTTTGTCACCATTTAATTAATCATTATTCATTTACAGAAGCGTACTGAACGATACTGTGATTATCTATATTTATGTTATTTATCACAATAGTCACAAGGATATTTATCATCATATTGAATTCAAGAAATAAAAGAAATACTTAAATAGCTTAAATCACACCGGTCTTTTTAAAACCACACAGACCGTTTAAAAATTCCCAAATGACCTTAAATCTCGTCTGAACTTCTTAAAGTTGAAAGAAAAGAATAATAATAAACCTTTCGAAAATCGCCCTGACCTTTTTTTTTACTTTTTAAAAAAGTGCCCAAACGTTTTTTTTTTTTTTTTTTTTTTTTTTATCATTCGGAATCCCACTGACCTTTTTTACTTTTTTTTTTACTCAAAACAAAATTAACCCTTATGTTTAACTTTGTAAAAAAAAAGAAAAAAAAAAAAAGAAAAGAAGAAAAGAAAAAGAAAAAGAAAAAAAAAAAACTGCCCAAACTTTTTTTTTTTTTTTTTTAATCATTCAGACTCCCACTGACCTTTTTACTTAAGGTTAAGGATGGCATCGGCCTCCTCAGGATCCTTCAAAGTGTGCCACTGGGCGATGGGCCTCCTAGGAGATGCAGCATGTCCGACCAATGGCGCAGTTCCGTGCCCGAAGCGTTCATACCCAACACGCACCGACCAATGGGCTCTGAGGTACCAATGCGACTCGATAGTCCACGACGGTCACTTGCAAGTTGACTTTCTGTTGAGGGGAGAGAAAGACGGTGGCGGGCGGTAGTGGCCAGCGGCTAAGAGGGATTGGGGATGGGTAGGAAGATGAGGGGGGAAATAGAGAGAAAGATCGGCCAGTGGCTAGGGAGGTAGTCCACGGACGGTCACTGCAAGTTGACTTTCTGTTGAGGGGAGAGAAAGACGGTGGCGGCGGTTAGTGGCCAGCGGCGAAGAGGGGGATGGGTAGGATGATAGAAAGGAAGAGGAGGAGGGGAAATAGAGAGAAAAGATCGGCGATCGTGGCTAGGAGGAAAGAGAGATGGAGAGGAGAAGGGGAAAATAAAAAAGAAAAGAAGAAGGAAAAGAAATAGAGAGAAGGCCGTGATAGGAGACACAGAGAAGATGGAGGAAAGGGAAATGGAAAGAGAAAAAAAAAGAAAAAGAAGAAAAGAAAAAGAGAAAGAAAGAAAAAGAAAAAAAAGGAAAGAAAAAGAAAAAGAAAAAGAAAAAGAAAAAGAAAAAGAAAAAAAAAAAGAAAAAAAAAAATGCCCAAACTTTTTTTCTTTTTTTTTAATCATTCCGACTCCCACTGAC